CTGAAGGCTCAGCAGTTTTGAGATAAGAATGTCTGGGATGATGGTATTGAAAGCTGAACTGGAGTCAACAAAGAGCATCCTGACATAGCTTCCTCTGGTCTCTAGGTGGCTCAGTGTTGTGTGCAGCGTCAGGGCGATGGCATCCTCTGTTGATCTGTTTCCCCGGTAGGCAAACTGAAGGGGGTAGAAGGAGGTGGGGAGACAGGCTTGGATGTGGTTGGAGATAAGTCGCTCCAGACACTTTGTGATTACAGGTGTGAGGGCAACCGGTCGATAGTCATTTAAGCTGTCTATGGAAGATTTTTTGGGGATGGGAATAATTGTTGCAGACTTGAGGCAGCTCGGGACTGAAGCATGAGACAGGGAGAGGTTAAACAACTTGGTGAGGATACCTGCCAGCTCACTGGCACACTCATTGACCACGATCCCTGGTATGCCGTCTGGTCCGGCAGCTTTCCTAGGGTTTACTGCTCTCAAGGTTCTTCTCACCTCATGTTCCTGTAGGACGAGAGAGGGAGGAGTGGGGAGAACATGCAAACTCCATGCAGAAAGACCCCAGTGCTGGGCAAGGCAACAGCACTAGCCACTGCACCACTGTGCAGCTCCTCTTGAGTCAATATTAAGTTAAATTCAGTTTATTTATATAACACCAAATCACAACAAGAGTCGCCTCAAGGCACTTCACAAATTAAAACATTCCAATTGAGTTCAGTTGATTATGCCAATTACGTAAAAGTTCCCTATAAGGAAACCCAGCAGTTTGCATCGATTCACTGACCTGTTGTGTCAGACACTTTATAGCAATCCTCATACTAAGCAAGCATGTAGCGTCAGTGGAGAGGAAAACTCCCTTTTAACAGGAAGAAACCTCCAGAGGATCCTGATCCTGGCTCGGTATAAGCAGCCATCCACCACGACTCACTGGGGATCGAGAAGACAGAACACACACACACACACACACACACACACACACACACACACACACACACACACACACACACACACACACACACACACACACACACACAGAGTTGTGAATTTTGATCTGACCCTACACACCTATGTCACCTGATTACATGGGTCCACCATAGGGGACGTCTACAGTGAATTATGAGAATATTGAACAGAGAGCAAAGTATTGACCGAGTTAGTTTTTGTTTTTGCCAGTTTAGACTGTTTTCTACTGGTTCAAGCCCATTTACCTTGTGGGTAGATTTAGCACACCTAGGTGGGCTCATAGTGAGCAGTATTTGAAAAAATGTAAGTGTTAACTAGCTGAACAATGTTAGCTTATGTTCTCCCTGCTGCTGTTCACTGATACGAGTTGCTGACTTTGCCAGAATTTCACCCCGCTGGGTTTATAATGTGATGAACAGCCTTTTATTTTACATTCAAGTTGGTTTAAAAAACTGAAGGAAAAAACTGTCCAGATGCTGCTGTCACGCCGCAGTAGGAAAGATATCTCATAAAGGCGAAGCTCATCATGCTAAAAAACGTACGCTATTTTCACACACGTAGTCCTACATTCGAACAATATTATTAGTATCTGTCAATTCACTATAGTACATGAATTGAATTGAATCATCGCCTTCTGTCTCCATAAAAGTTATTTTAAAAAGTCATGTTGATTTTACACCCTTGTTTGTTAGTGCAGCAAACAATTACCATTTCACATAGAAATAAAATAAAGAAGTGATATAGGGCTTCAAACAGGCTTGTTTTGATTAGCTTCACAGGAGGGTCAACGTGTGTAAACGGTTTGTCTGCCGTCCATCGTGGCAAAGGGGGCGGTACCATGAGTGGCGGGACATCACGTGTAAAGTTTCAAAATGCGTCAGAGCTCTAACATATGCTAAATGTTGCCTCTTGTGATTTAGCCTTCGTTAGTAGAAACAGATATGTGCTGCTTTGGGACCTAACGTTGTTGAATGTCGTACATTTTTAGTGAAAGTATGGTTAGACACACCAATGAGTGGTTAATCCTATAAACATCTCAACTTTTTAAACCTTTTTAATGATTTTTCATTTATAATGCTATTTTTGTTGTCACGAAATGATCTGATTAATAGCATAACTTTAACTAGAGGTGAACCAAAAGTAGTTAGTGGTGATCAGAATCGATATTCGTTTGGTTAATGCACCATTTCTGTAGTAGTGTAAACTTGCCATCGGTAGGCACTAATTTCCATTGGCTTTAATTAATGGAGGCTTTTTTGCCCCACAACACCAAAATTGGTTTATCTGAACGCACAAGTTCTTCTGTCTGTCTCAGTCTCATTTCTCACTTTGTTCCTCTGTTATTTGCTTGTTCTGTTCTTTTTCTGTTGGGAGTTTGGTCATTTTTAATGGGAGTTGATGACGATGGAGTATAGAAGGAGGAGATGCTGCGCACACGTTTGCCAATATTTGAGCAATCAATTCTTGTCGTGACAACGGCTCCAAGCCCAACCCTTTTTACTCAGGATAATAGTTTGAGAATTACTGGAGAACAATGTCGACGTGGAAAAACACACCAAACGGAGATTTCGTACCATTTCCTATGGTGATAAATCAAGTAGTGAAACACTGATTACTTGTTTGTGTTGTGTAATACAGGTCTTGAGCGATTCCTTAAGCATCTTTTTGACTATAATATTTAGAGTTGTTGTGCCTGTCTGCCTCAAGTATAAGTTAGAGTTAACTTTAACAAACTGGGTCACAGAGGTGCTCAGAAGCCAAGGCCCAGACAGCAAAATAAAGATTCTCACATTTTTGTCTGGATATTCCAGAGCATGTGCAATCCTGATGTTCTGCCTCTGTAGAGTCCAGCCAGGAATGAAAGCTGTCTCAGCCGTGATGCTTACACAGCCTCTTTGTCTTTTATACTGTCAGGTTTCAGTTCAGCTGCTTCAACTCTTTATGACATCATGACTGAGCTCAATGTCCATTTTTCTGAAATAAATAAGTACATTTACTAATAAACCAAAGTTTGTTTCTGCTGAAAATGAAAGTCCTAAAGTCATCATCACCTGCTGGTGAAGTTCATCTCCACACTTGACCCATCCCCGAGGGGAGCGATGAGCTGCAGCTGTGGCCGTGCTCGGGAACCATTTGGTGACTTGCCTGTAAAATAATGGCTATCTTTCGCCAACGTTCTCATTCTCCACTGATAAAATTGTCTTGTCTTCCCTTGTCCTTTACTTTTCTGGATCTGTGTTGTGAGGACAGCGAGGACGCCCAGACTGTCCTCTCCCAGCCCCATCCATCAGTTTATCCCGTGGGATCCCAAGGTCTTCCCAGGCCAGCAGATATAATCCCTCCCATGTGTCCAGGGTCGGCTTTAGGGTCTCCTCCCAGGAGAACGTGTCGAAGACTAAATTTGATTGTGTTAATGTCACTTTTTCCTCATTTCTGTGTGTTTGGGCATTGCTAAACTCCACGCCTTCCGTTTTAGTGTCTGGCACCACATTTGTTTAAACCGAGTATGGACATGAAGGGCAGAGACTCTTTTATTAGCATGCAAGTGGATGTCACTTAGAACATCCAAACCAGCAGACGTTCTGTACAATATTTATATTGTGCCAACTGATATGGCAGTAAATTAGCAGTTTAGTGTGCAGCTCAGTACAAAATTGAAGAACGTTAAATGGAGATTTTAAAAGTAGACCTAAATGATTCTAAACTGTCCTGAGTGAAGCAAAGATGTGTGGACTTTATTCTGCAGTCAACACATTCCTACTCCTAGTAAAAAAGGGAGACACTACATTAGTCATTCTGTTTGGCTCTTTAGCATTTAGGAGATTTTTGCAGGCTTTAAAACACTTCACATAAGAACTAATCCACACATTTTCTAAAAGTTTTCCCTGATCATCGTCATCTGGTATAAAAATATCTCAATGCCACACAGCCCTAAATATTTATCGTGAACTTTACATTTAAATTTGTAAAAAAAAAAAAAAATCTGCCTTCGTCTTAGACTCTAACCCCTAGTGGTGCGGAACGGTTTATTTGCAAGCTTCAATGCGGTCCGTTACGCACCGGGAATCCGCAGTACGACTTCCTCACTATGCTTCTCGATGGGATTACAACATCCCTCGAGACTTCATAGGTCACAGTTGTTTTTTGCAATCCGCCATTAAACCAACAAGAAGGAAGAAAGCTTGTGATTTCCTGTCTAGCCCTATGTTAACTGTGGAAATGGACGTGTCCTAGAAGCGGCTCACGGCAAAAATAGAACCTGATCCTATCTTTAGTGGCGCAGCGTGCCTCTTCTGCCTGAAAATGTCTGCATCATGACTGGTTTGAAACTCTAACCCCGTAGATTATATTGGATTCTATTTGAAGCAGTGACGTTCCGCTGCCGTCCCGCGCTGCTGATGCTCTCAGTGTGAAATAGGCTTGAAAGATAAAATAACTGAGGAAGACCAAAATGTTGTAATTTTGGGTTAAAACTAAAGGGAGTTTGGGTGGAATTACACGACAAGGAAAAGATTCAGAAGATCTTTGTTTAGTTACGTGTCGGCCTGTTGTGCATTCAGAGTTTTCTGAATGAATGGTATAAAAACAAGTCTGGTCCACACTGCTGGAGCAAACTTCTACATTCTGACGTTCCACATGCAAAAAATATGTTTTTTGAAGTTATGATTTCTCACATTCATCCAATTACAGCAACGGGAGTTTATATTTCCATCCCCGACATAACTGGCTGCTGTTTACTCCTAAAAGAATGTGTTTTCAATTTGTGCAAGCTTGTGAAAACGTCTCTTAGAATTTTTTTGCCAGCATTAGCCTGAGAAAGGACACGTTCATTTTTATATTATGTACGTGTGTCTGAAATATAGAGAAATCGGTTCAGTGGGCTTTCCCTTTCACCTCTTCTCTCAACCCCTTCTGGCTGTTTGTTTTTGCCCTCTTCCCTGTGAAAAAAGACAGCTCTCTCAGAAGCAGCTATGATTGACTCACTTCCTCCTTTTGCTCTCTCTCTCTCTCTCTCTCTCTCTCTCTCTCTCTCTCTGTGTCAGGTTTGTGGCGCTCTGCTTTACAGTTTCCTGCTGTTACATGGTAACACAGATCTGAAGGTAAGCTTGACTTTACTATGTTGATTTTCTCTCTCCTCAGTGAAGTTAGTGATGATTTGAGTAAGGTGATAGTGTGTGAGGATTATGTTGAACCTACATTGAAATTACCCAAAAGACAGCTGCTAGTTTTGTTAGTGTTTCTCAGGTTCATGTCAAGAATATTGTGGATAAGGTACAAAAATTGCTTGGGAGGATCTCACGTTTCCTTTTGAGATGAGAACAGAGGTGCTAATGGTGCGCAAGTAGCACCTGCAGCCTGCACCTTTAATAGCTGTTAAAGAGTCTAGCAGGCCTCTAAGCATCAGGTTTTTGCACTAAATGTTTCACCAATCCAACAAAAGTTTGAAGCTTCAGGCCCCTGCAGTTCTCTGTGGGCCTGATGCAGGTTGGTGCAGAAACAAAGTCCTACACCCGTTGTAGGTGTCACAGAACGAGCTGGCAGAAAGGGTTTCTGCTCTTCCTGTTGGGTTCCTCCTCCAATCAGCTGGTAGTTTAAGTGCTGATGCTTGATACTGATTCCCTGCCAGATAAAATGTTGATGTTACACATTTGAAAATGTGTCTTATGGGCCTGTGCTTGTGTTTTCTTTCATTTATACAGTTTGAAAAATGACTAAAATATCAGCAATAAAATAGGATTTGTGTTTTCTTTGTGCAGTTTCACTTTACTAGTGCCAACATCAGCCATCTGACATTTAAATCTTTTTATTAAATCATAATCTTCCCACCACAAAAGTCATTTGTCAGAGGATTAAATGATAATTATAATAAATGGGTTATTCTGTTTTTAATTATTATTGAAATATAATCGGCCACTCCTAGTTTTACATGCAGGATGAACATGAAAATAGTCTTCTACCACTATTTCCTGCAGTAGCTACTTATAGAAAATAGATGGGAAAACGCTCAGGTAATAAAAAGCCACACAGATTTACGTCACGCTGTAAATTAGCTTTCATGGACTCACTCATCTTAGCTGTGGACCGCAGAAGGCTGAGGTAAAGGGTAAATAGCCTATATTTGATATAGCGCCTTCTAGAGTGCTGTAACCCCCCAAGGCGCTTTACAACACGATCAGTCATTCACCCATTCACACACACATTCAAACGCTGGTGGGGAGGAGCTACGATGTAGCCACAGCTGCCCTGGGGGGGTGCACTGACAAAGGCGAGGCTGCCAAGCACTGGCATCACTGGTCCCTCCAACCACTTGCAGCAGGCAATGTGGGGTAAGTGTCTTGACTCCTGTGCCACCGTCTGAGGTGATTTAGTGTCCAGGAGCAAGCAGAGCTAACAGTTAGCATTAGCAGCATAAAAACATGGCAGAACATGCTCAGGCTTGGGTTTTATGTGGAGATAAATCATCAGTTACATTTTTTTACCCAAGTAAGAAGAGAGAACAGAGGCAGAGGAAGGGTCACATTGCTGTTAGCCAACCAGAGACGAGATGTTCACATATCATGAATAGGGCTGACACAAAAAAATTAATAGATTAAAGAAAAATGCTTGATTTTTATTTATTTATTTGTTTAAAGTACAACATACCTTGTGATCCATCAGAAAATCTTATAATTCTCAATAAAACATTCTTATTAAATTGAACATTTTTTTCTTCAAAATCCTTACCCCGGTTGTTGCATTGGCAGCGTCGGTCTGCAGTCTGGAGTACGTGTCATCCCGCTCGTCAGCAGACAGGAATGGTAGGGCCTTAAAGCGGGGATCCAGAGCTGATGCTGCATACAATGTGTTCATCTGTGCATCATATCTTAAAGACGTTCAACAAATAACTTTTGTTAAGAGGATAAACATAACATGCATACTAATATATTCATAAAAGCAAACAAAGTGTGTGGGTGAATGATTACAGCTACAAGTTAGAAAAGAGCACATAATACAAAATTGCTTTCCTTTAGTAATTTTTTGTTTTGTTTGCCCTACTTCATGGACAGACAGACAGCTTACCTTGTTTTCAAGATGGTCCTTACAATAGCCTTCAGGTCCCTCAAGGTCCCTCACCATGGCGGAGTCTCCGGGGCTGAGGGTGAAGGCCCCCTGCAGCAGGGCGAGAAGCGATGCGATGACGGACAGAGTTGGTTGCTTGTCCTCCGACATTGCGAGTGTAGCTTCTTTCATTGGTTTCAAGACCTGCACCAAATCTTCGGCAATTGTTACATCCTCCTCTGTTAAGGTGCACAGATCTTTTTCATTTCTTCGCACGTCTTGTGAAAGGAGAGTGGCAGAGATCGCTGGCTGTTGCTCCAAGAAGCACCCGAGTATTTCCAAAGCACTGTTCCACCTCGTCACTAGGGCTGTAGCGAAGCCTCGACGACGTCGACGGCTCGATTCTAAAAATTTGTCGACGTCAGATCCGGAAGTCGACGCACCGCGCCCACTTGTTGCATCCCCAGGAGTTTGTAAATAGAGGAGGAATCTGCCTGTTTTTCCTCTAGTTCGCCCTCTTCTCCGCCTTCACTAACATCTCCGCCAAATACCGAAGACCCGGAACAATGTCCGTCCGCTACTAGATTATTTTCCTGTGTTGCCCGCCTTCGTCTCCCGGCAACGGACAACAACTTCCGGGGTCAGATGCGCTGCTTCGTCTCTACCACAGATGTAGAACATCACCGGGAGCATTTCTCCCTTCATTAAGGAGCTTCTTTCAGACATTAGGAGAGCTGTTTTGGTGGTAGCAGTCTCTCCTCCGTGCTGGTCTGTTTGCTGCTGGGTATTTTTGGTTTATTTAAATTTGGTAACTTGAACTTACCGTTGGTAAAGCTACTGTTAGCATTTTCGCTAACAGCTTCTTGCGTTTGGATAAGCCGTTACGTTTTGGTTTAGAGTTCATCTTTTTTGTGGTGCAGATCTCCCTTTTATTACATTTAGAGTGTTGTGGGTTTTCGGTTTAGTTTAAAATATCACCTTGAGTTTGGTTTAACCGCCCAGTTTAGAGTTTGGACTTTTGGAGATCCTTGGTCCAGAACCCAGTAATCTTTGCCCAGTGGGACATCCCTACTTATTTGTACTTTGTTTTAATTCCCCACAGGCAGAATTAGTTTTATTATTCCCAACCTGTGGATGGAAAGATTTATGATTTTTTGTAGTTGTAAATAAACCTGATCATCATTTTAACTTTTAAATCCCGTTATTGTCCCTTCCTTTTTGCACACGAGCCAAACTCCCCAGGAAGAGTCGTAACACCACTCGCCTCACGCACATAAGTGACCAAAACAAAGCAGCATGGAGACACTCCATCTTCTACCACCTCTCAGGCAGCAGCCTGCACTCCCAAGTTCTGCACATCACCAGAACATAACCAACACAATAAAAGCAGTGTTGTACAAAATGGAAGGCCTGTAGTGTTTATTCTCTTACAGTAAGAATTTATCAATTTTTTTGAGGAATTAATTTGAGATTTTCTGGTTTTTATTAATTTTGCAATACAAAAATAATCATTAGATTAATTTTCTAAATAGTCATTAGAATAGTCGACTATTCGATAAAATAATCGTCAGAATAATCGTTTTAAAAATAATCGTTTACCCCCAGCCTATACTCGTCACAACGTCTACATTGTGCACTGGTAGTTGTAGCAGCTTCTGTTTTTCTTTAAGTATGTGGTTCGCCTTCGTACTCCGGTGAAAGAACATTGCTATACGCCTGACTCGAGCCAGCAGACGTGACACGGCTTGGATTCTCAGATCCGCTTGTGAGGCTAAGTTCTGCGTGTACGCGAAGCAGCCAATGTGCATTAGCTGCATCATGTCCACCGCTCTAACCATATTTGCAGCGTTGTCCGTCACGACAGCTGGGTCTTTGCTGGTCAGCCCCCATTACTGTATGGCCCCCATCAACATATCAGCGATATTGCCAGAGGTGTGGCTCGTGAGAACTTCCGTGGTCTGTAGCACATGAGACGCTAGGCACCACTCATTGTCAATGTAGTGAGAAGTCACTGTCATATATGACTGCGTTGACAGTGAGGTTCAGGTGTCGACCGTTATGCCAACCCCCTCTGCTGACATCATTTTTGTCAGGATATCTTCTTTCACAGATTTATACATCATGGGGATAACTGTTTCAGTCAGATGTTTACGTTGCACCATAACGTAGTGGGGATCGAGCACCTGAACGAGCTGCTTGAAGACTTCATTTTCCACTACAGAGTTCGGCCGTAAATCTTTGCAAACAAAAATTGCGATGGCCTCAGTTATTTTTATGGCCCGCGGAATGCTGGCTGGCAGTGTTAGTGATTCCCTGAGTTTCTGTTGTTTTGCTCCGGACGGCTTGTTGTCGGAAGCTAATGCTAGCTTAGCATGATATCTTGTCAAGTGGTTTCTGAGGTTCGTAGTATTTCTACAATAACTGACCTCCACTTGGCAGATCTTGCATATTATTTTGGTTTTATCCAGCTCTTTGTCCTTTGTTGTTTAAATCCGAAATAGATCCAGACATCAGACCTTAGCTGAGATCGGTCGCAGCGTGAACTTCCACTTGCTTGGGCCATTTTACGTATGAACGTGTCACGCTGGAGATGTATGGGGCCAACTCTTTAGGGAAAACTAATCGATCTCAGAACCTATGAATCGATATTGCAACAGCCCCCCAGTCCCAGACACCCCCAGAGAACCCACCTCCAGGGAACGTCTGGATACTCCAAACTCAGACCCTCCACTCCCTCACCCACATCATCCCGCAGCACAATATCAATGGTCCCCCGTCATCGCTATGTGATGGAACCGATCAAAGGAGCTCAGAGATATTGATTTGAAATGGAAGTAGAAGCTATATCAAGTATAATATGATCTAACAAAAAATTTCTATACTGGTTGATGCAAAGAGTATCTCTATTTTTCCAATTCAAGAGGATAGTTTTCATGTTCTCCTGCCGGTGTTCTGTCAGCTCCCTTCAACTGCACATTGAAACCAACACTCAGCATAACTCCTTGAACCTTTAGCACAGCCTATACAATAGCTTTCATAGGCATGGCTGACTTCTCATTCC